GTCTTATAGTTTTTGAGAAAAAAATGCCCAAAGAACACTCTTTTTTCGGCCTCCTGACTGAGTGTGACCTCTTAAGTTTCAAGAGGTTCCTCTTCCTTTCTGTGATTAAAAACGTAACATTTCGAGTGATTAAATTTTACTTCATTTCTCAAATACAGAAGCGAATTCCGCACATTTCTCCTGAAAGTACCTACACAAATAAACGAATTTTCACGTGTCGCGCAGATTGCGATCGCAAATGGTAATTCAATTCCCCGAAATTTCCCGAAGTTTCTTCGATCGAAACGATTTCAAGATCAACGTTTACCCGTGGTTCCCCGTTACGAACGGTTACATGGGGTCACGGAAAGGCCGCGGTGTTTTCACGTGAGTTCGACAGGTTCATCTGCATTCGGGTCCCGTTTAATCGTTAGCCGCCGCCGCGATCCTCATACACTTCGTTTTGCTCGTTTCTGCAACGGCTGCTGCTCGCAGGACGCACACACATGAAATACCGCCACGGGTTTCGTAAAATATCCTCCGGTGAAATTCACGACGTCGTCCCCACGGAATAATTAATTCCGTCGCGTGGTTTCAGCCCTGGGCTCGTTTTCGCACGTCTCCATTTGCCCCCCGGAGAAAAGTTCGTTTCGATCCAGGGTCCCGAACATTCCACGCGTAAACACACCCTTGTGCCGCCAAGTATACGAACTTTATATAAATTTATTGGACCAGCTTTAATCGATACTCACGATCTTGTGTTATATTCTCAGGAATTTCCAATTTTCATATCGACTGGCGAACAGTTACCTATAGCGATACGTTATATAATAATAACGCAACGTTGAAACGGGAACCGAAAATGAATTTATACCGTTACATTTCGCGATAGCCTCGAGCATTAATTTATTCCACCTTAACCGCTATGCACGGACTGACCCACAAGTATTAATCCCAGGGTGAAACGGTGTTGATTGATTTAACAAAAATTCGAGAAAAATTTTCGTGAAACATAGACGTCTCTTAACAGGCGTAGATGGGTTTTATAGGATTTGTCGGGTCGAAGGAAAACTTTCGAGTGCAATCAGACGGCTCCATAGAAGGCGAACCAGAGAAGAGAGGATCATCGTTTCGCGATTACTATTCTTCCCCTTATCCTTTCGTCGAGCACGTGGATCAATTGCTAAAAGTCTCTGAGCACGGTGTTCGTCCAGCGATTTATTGCAGTCACGAGCCGCGATTGTAGCAACCGTATATGTACATGCGCCGAAGATTCGCGACGACCCAATTCGACCATCTCCGATCACCGCTTACCCGTCCGTCCACCATTCTGTTTTTATTTGAAACCTGTATGTATACGCGCGCGGACCCCGTCTCTGCGCGATTTTTCGCCGTTTCGAGACGGCCAATTATCCTTGCGTAATACCCTGGCTCGTTCTCCCGTGGAAATTATGCAGTTTGTTTAATCGTTGCACACGCCTTCCTTTTATAATCAGCGAGACATATTTAATTGATAGGTACAAGAAAGGTTAACACTCGGCTGTCTTCGTAATTCGACGAGTAATTAACGATGTGGATTATTATTTTATTGGCGTGTATTAGATCTACATAGACGTAACGTCAAGGCTGACTTTGATCTTTCGGAAGAAATAGAACTTCCGGTTTTCGTTCTTTATTATTTCGTCTATACCAATTATCGCTATATACTGTTTATTATTATTATATATACTAAAGATATCCAAGAATTCAGAAATCATTTGGAGACCTTTATTGTATCCATAGATGCACTTTGATGACGTGTTGTAATGATAGTCGTCGAATGAATCATTACACTAGGAATAGTTTAGCAACTACTGCATTATTCGTGTGATCAATGTAAAAAATAAATAATTTTTTTCATGGACACACATGAGTAAATATGAATTATTATATCGAATAACTCGTTACCTGTTGGGTGTATCACAGAACGTTCTAAAGGAATTATATTTCATTCGAAGGAACTCCTCAGATGGTTACAATTTGATCTTTTTTGTATGTTATATGTTCGGCCATAACAAGGTAACCTTAAGCTTTTTCAGGGTCAATGACTTTTTTTTAATGCTGCGTTGTAGTTTTGTCCAATGTGGAGGTTCAAAGTCAGCTCAAGGCCAGCTTACTATAGGTCGATGAATTCGTTCGAAATGTTAAAATCATATATTTTATTGTGCTACTCGTAAAAACGAAATATGATTCAATTGATCCAATTTATCGAATGATGAAATCAATCAATAAATATATTGATATGATCGATTTTTTCAGTGGCTCTATCGATTGCAATGTCTTTTTTCATACAACCAATAGGTAACGAGTTAATAGTTCTTACTGCCTCACCCTGCATACAAAATATCGTTCTTCGTGATTTCGTCTGAACTTTATATGTTGTAATCAAGACCTTATTATTATTATTTAACTGATATTGAACTTCTTTCAACTGATACAACGACTACAGTTACGAGAAAATTGCCGATTAATGATATTGCACAGTCGATCCCGTCCGAAAATCCGTAAATAACGCAAGAACAGGTATCTCGTATCCGAACTAGTTGCAAGCAGACCTGGATTCGATTCGCGCGAACGACGACGACGCTGAATTTTCTTCGCGATTTCACTTTCGCCGTGGTGGCATAATCGCGTCCGTGTTACGAATGGTTAATCCGAATTTCATGGATCGTCCCCTCACCCCCTGCCGAGCCACAGAAGCAGCGTCGTAACTACACGCCTATGGACGAAAGAAAATACAGAGGAGGAATTATTCGCAGCTGCGAACGATTCATATTCCGTGCTCGTCCCTCGGATAAAAATGTCGATGGCGTACGAACAATAATTGTCACCGATATGGCAAGCAACCACCGCCGGTGGTATCGATGGAATCGTTTTATTTATCGACGCCCTCCTTTTCTATAAGTTTTCCTTTTTTCGCACACGCGCTGGTCCGCGATGGTGTTGAATGCATGAATAATGCAAAGGGAGCACACGTTTCACGGAGCACAACTTGCGAACAAGTAACTCTCTCTGGTGGAAAAAAGAAACGGAGGGTTGTCGGCGTTCTCGTATTAAAAATAATTTTACTCCCCCGCTCGGATTCCCTGTTTTTCATGGTTGCGAGGCGCGCGTCTGCCTCCTCTTCTGGTACTCTGGTACCCAACGGCTTTCATCTCTATCTCTTTTTCCTTTTTTTCTGCCAATTAGCCGTATTCCACGAGCAACACATTCGAGCTACCGTGCAGGGGGGGGGGCAAACAAGAAGAAAGAAAGAAAGAATTAACGGAGCACGCGAACCGTCTGGGAATACGTGAGGAACGATGTCCACTTTTTTCTCTCAAAGATGATCCTTGCGATTCATTCCTCGTCGCCCGGATGGCCTTTTGTCTCTTAACCCTTTTGTCCCCCAGAAAGCTGCTACGGTTCGCCGGTATACACTTTGATGTACGATTAACCGAGAGTATTTCAGCCCCCTCGATGAACGACCTAGCTTAGCCTCTGGACGTTCGCGTGTTACGATGTCAAGGCGAGTTTATACTCTTTACACTTTGGACACGCAACGTGGATGTCTCGTGACCACACTGAAACGCGCGAAAGATTGTTCTCGTCTGCATTTAATTCCAAAATTCTATGCTGTATTATTACAAGTGTGTAAAAGGATGTAGAAAATGCAGTAGAATGAATAAAGAATATTTCAGTGTAGGATCTTGCCACGAAATTTTAAGTTTCTATGGGATACCAGCCTCTCGGTCCAGGTTTACACCGCATTCGCTTTTTTAGAAAACACATAGGTACACCCACCAACAAAGTCGGCTTCCGTTGGGGGTAAAAGCGGCGTAAAAGGAAAGCCTTCTACCATTTAGTAAATTTCTTCCAGGTACTGAAATAAATATTAAATCGAATGTTAAGTTGGCATAAATTTCAGTAATTCCAAATACCAAGTGGTACAAGCATAGTAAGAGGCTCTTTCCCAACACTGCTTTTTCGCCCAGTGGAAGCCGAGTTTGCACGTGGGTGTACATACACACACATACACACACAGATGACAGCGACCACAAACACAAACTAAGGGGCTGGTAACGAAGAGGCAAATTACGGGAACCAAATGCATACAGAGGGCGAAGGATATTTCCCTTGAGCTCCAAAAGCTCACGGTACATTTCCACGCGAGAGCGACTCTCGACGCAGAAACTTCTCTCCCGTAAAACCTAGAGCCCGCTTGTGGCATTAACGCGTGGACTTGGAACCCAATCGAAAGATCCTCCTCGGGGCTTTCGTTCCGAGGCGTTCGTCACGCTCTTCTCCGTTTTGTCACGCAGACGCGGTTTCCGCGAACAAACCGGCTAATTAACACGTCCGGCCGGCGAAATCTCCGTCGTCGTTTAACGAGGACCGTGACGAGACGGACGAAAACATCCAAGGACTGTACATAGACACGAAACAGCAAGTAACGAAAACACCTGTCGGTTTCGTTCGACACATTGGACCGTCGTGGTTCCCTCCTAACTGCTAAAATCTTTTCACGGGAACAGTCAATACACATATGTACGTGGTGTGGACAAAAAATTCGTGGACTTAATTCACCCAGAAATGGATTTTCAATTATTCTGGGAGGGGATACCGGGGTTGGAAGTAACAGAGGTAGGTTATAACAGTGTTTTTTTAAATAAAAGAGGCGCTACGATGACAAATAATGAATAAATTATGATATGTTTATATGTTTGTTTATCCTGTACCGATCGTACCACGAATTGGTACACAGACGAAAATACAGGATGGCAAATAATCTAGGGGAGTAGGAGACAAGGTTAAAGAAAGAACCACGTCGTTGAAATGTTCTCCAGCGGATATATTGAATTCCTTTTTCGTCGAAAGCGTTCTTTCGATGGTATTCGTTGGTCTCTCGGTTCTTGTTCGAACGATCCCCCCCAAAATCCATAGGATCGCAGGGTTGTTGTTGTTGTTGGGTTGATTTCCCTCACCGGGAGTCTCGACAGTCCTCAGTTTCTCTGTTCTTGCCTGTTCAGAACAGTCAACGCCGTGTTTTGACTCTCTGGCACCATCGTCCTCGAGCTTCGTATGTCGAAGATCTTCTTCAAGGATCGTGGAAATTGGCTGTTCAGGCCAGCGTAGATGATCGGGTTGTAGCATATCGAGGACTTGGCCAGCAGAGCTGGCAGCAAGGCCAAGGATGCTGATGGTCTCGCCTGTGGAACGACACGAAGGAACATTTTCTCTGACGAAATCGTACAGTATGATGGAATTCTATCTGCGCGATGGAATGTTTTTTGAATATGTACTTGGTTGGATTTGCGAGTGAACTTCTACCAATGACAATTTTAACCCTTAAAACAAATTTAGCACTTATACACTTTGGATGTGCAAATCGGGACTTTACACTGCGGATGATTCATCCACACTGACAGGTGTAAAGATTGTTTTACATCTGTATTTCATCCAAACTGAACATTCAAAGTGACCAGTAAATAAATTAGAGCTAGCCTCTACTTTTGACGAATCGAAAGGATTCTGGATGAATCATCCGCGATGTGTATCGAAAGTGTGAAAGTGTAAATTCGTCTTTAGACTGAGAACCACTCGGAAGTAGAACGTTTGTTGTATGAGATGTTCTTTGAGAGTAATTTAAAAAACATCTATTCGTTTTAAAATTATTTTATAAAATGTGACAATCGTAATGATCGCGAAAGAAGCTCACGTCATTTCCGAATTTCTTGTTAGTAACGAATGAAGAACGCCTAAAGGCGCTGTTCACAGTCGGAGGGTTGATGATTAGAATGTACCTCTGAACAACCAACACCAGTTTGAACAAAAACCCTCATTTTATGATACGGTTAAGTACACAGTTCTTAATGAGGAGGGAAAATAATATTGGAGATTTTAAGAGACAGCATTGATCAGCAACGAAGTTCATTGTCGGTTGACGTCACGGCTCTGCGCGTGTTAATGACACTTAATCGTATCAGGAAATTATAACAATACTTTCACCGCGACTCGCGCATTCGCTGAAAACGCTCGGTGCCGTGCAGACTAAACGACTCGTCTCGGGCTGGTTGTTCTGCGCGCAGCAGTGTTTCTTTCTATGCGAGTCTGTGTGTAGGAGTCGCTTTCTCGAGACGTGTACGATGTTTTATTTTGCTTGCAACGTGTACAGTAGATATATCAACATAGATACGCGTATTAATTAATTGCAGCCTTGGTGAAATACTGTTGAAAGACTCGGAGCAAAAGGCGATCGTTCAACGTGCTTACTTTCATTTGCTCTTCGAGCGATGATATAGGACAGGTTCGATAGCCATCGAGCAATATGAATTTGTCTTTGTCAGTTATAAGTTAACAAACCAGTTTTAGAGATACGCTGCAAAATGCGTTTCTTGTCGCTTATTAGTGCGTAATTTTTGCACCTGATCGGGTAAACTTAGGCCTGCAACAGTCTCTGGGTCTAGTTTGATCCAGATTTATGCAAACAAACTGTTTGAAAAATAATCGTTAAGGTAATATATTATCTTATCTGGCTACGTGTTATTTGAAATAATCATGTGTTAGTTTATTCGACAGACAAATGAATAATCCTTTCGATTATTTCGTTATTGGAATTTCAAATGAAATAATTTTTTATTTTATTTTTTATTCGTTTAAGTGTTTAACCGAATAATTTATTTGAATTAAACATAGGATAAAATTAGTTTTCTTATGTCATGTGTCAAGTAAAAATAATACAGTACTTGAAATAATTCGTTATTTCAGATGATTATTTATTATCTTATTTCAAATAAAATGTACCCAACCTTGTTTTGATCCAATCACATTTTCTATGAATATGACGGCAATATTTATTTCAGATTCAAAATATCTTATCAATTCTCTATTATTTAGTCATAATGCCAGAGGACGATGAGAACAAATAACGAGATGCCGTTAAAACAGGACGTGTATTTGAATTATTTCGAGAAGAGTCTACAAAGTTTTTTAAAAAATAATGGACTACTCATTTTGGTGCACCTATACATTATCATGCAACAAACGACCTCCGTCTCATGGACCCCCCTGACAATCTTCACTTCCGATACTCTAGACGTCATTACCCCCATCAACGCCTCATTGCTGTTACGTGTTCGCTGTTCATGGCTTCCGTTTCGCCACTTTTCACATCCACACGCGTTACTTACGTCGAAATACTGCGCGCCAAGCGCCAGGGCCGCGTACGGCGACCAGGCGACCAGGAAGGCCGTTATCATCAACGCTACCATTTTCGTGATCTTCGCCTCCCGTCTTCCTCGTGCACCTGGATCACAAAAAACGAAAAACTGCGCCCCACAGAACCGACACACACGATGTCGTGTGAATTTCGCGAGGATCATATGTCGTAACCGGAAGGGATCAAGAAGTAAAACAGAATGGCTTTGATCCTCTTGATAAAACGAAGAAGGATCGGCACCAAAGTGGTCCAGAATCAAAATTTAGCAGTTCCATACGCTTATGTAGCTCAACGATACGAAAAAATTGTGAAACTTATAAACTTTATTCAAATAGAAGTAGCGTAAATGAACACATTTTTAGTAATTTTATGAATCCTCTTCGACGACGTCATGATCAATAGTTTGTTCTGATCATTTTCATGAAAGTCTGAAGTTTTAAAGGAAGTTTTTCTTTCTACTTTTGACCAAGGCTGATAACACGAAAGGTCCCGAGAAGATTAATAATGCATAGAACAAACGTTCTATGGTTAATAATAATGTGATTTAAGTTTTCTGGAAGATAAAAGAAACTTTTTTTCGACCGTTTCACTTGCTAAATTTCAATTCCGAACCATTGTGCCTGCAGCGTTTTACTCGGGCTGTAAGTAGCTTCGAGTCGTCGTTCGATCGTTTACCAGTTCACCGGGGGAAATTAAGCGAATTGCAATTCTAAAACGGACAATAGAGCTCAGACATCGAGACTGGAACAACCGTCTTTCGGAATTTTTGAACTTTTTCGGGGAACGCGTGAAAAGTTTGCGAGGAAAAGACGACCAATGGGGCACGTCTGGTCCGAGCGACACGGAACGAAAAGAATTTCAAATTAAATGAGAAGAAAGTCTAACAGGATCACCTGCTCGTCTCCTCACTCCCCGTAACGTTAATAGAATCGCCACGTAACTGGTGCTGATCACGATGACGGGAACAATCAGACCGACGGTGAAGAGGAAGCCGATGTAGCTGTCGCTTTTCGTCGTTGGATCGTGGACCTCCCATGATACGCTGCACGACACGTTCCCAGCTTCCGGGCCGTAACTTCCCCAGCCGAATAGAGGCGGCACGGATAGACAGAGGGCGTAGATCCAGACGATTAACGCAAGTATCGCGGCCGTTCTGTTAAAAGCAGAGGGTTCCTTGATTCAGTGAAAAATCGAGGGGAAGGATGTTGCCCAATTTCGACCATCGCCTAAGTTGGACCGTTACTATAATATACTTTTGATATCGATGATTTTTCAATGTGTTGTCAAGGTAGTCACCATAAGTTGTGTTGTGAAGGTTTTAGTTGGGGGTCGCCGTTTGTAAAAAAGTTATTACTAAAAAATTGAATTCTCGCTGAATTCAAGTTATCCCTTTTCAAGTAGAATCAGTCTCAGGTACACCACTTCAAGTAATCCCTCATGTTCTTCAGAGGCTAATTTTTTGAAGGATGCAAGCACGAAAGGCGGTGGTAAAATGTGTCGTCTTAATTATAGGAAGCCTGTGACATTAATGGACCACACTTTGTCTTACCGTGTCATTTTGCGGTGGTATAATCATATACTTCTCGGTGCAATAAGTTGCGTTTCATTTGCGGTCCACGCTGGAAATTATCCATGAATCGCGGTCGCGAATTTTTAATACCTCGCAGGACTATCTGGGTTCGAATACAGCACGGCAAATCGCAAAACTGTTCACGGAAATTGTATTAGACGTGAAATAATAGGTTCCGGAAACCGAACGTGTTTGGATCGAGGATAGAGAACCGGTGGTGAAATCGTTTTTACCTTAGAAACGGGGATTCTAAATACACGGTGGAACGAAGTCGAGAGAAACGGAATTAAGTAATTATTAAAGAGCCCTCTATTGTTAATGAGAGCTCGGCGAATAATCTCTTCTTTCTCTTTGATGGCCGGCTACTAATCCAGGGATGAAAGCAGTCGAAGAAAAGAGACGTCCCGCCGGTTGTTAATCCAAAGTTAATTGCAAATGTGATTCGAGAGAAGACTTAATCTCGTACGCGATCTCTTCGTAAGGGAGGGACAAACGGGGAGTTATAAAGTCTTCTAGAGGCTGTCAAAGTGGGCCATAAAAAATATTCGAACTTCATTCGTATTGCATATTGTAATCGTTTTATCGAGAGCAGCAGAAATAACAGTACAATTATCCTGTATGATCCTCGGATTCTATTTCAAAACATCGAGGAATGTTTATCGAACTTGAGTCTCTTCGGTTCAGTAAAACCACCAGCAAATCTTCTTGGCCGTTGAAAATATTACTGGCTCCCCTCTACTCAATTAAAAGTGTTATAAATTTTCCTGTTTCGAAACACCGTCTTACGGTGGATAAATTAACGACCGCGGAACGTTCTCCTTGACCCGTTCGGGCGCTAAACACTTTCTTCTCGCGGACTACGTCTAAAGGTTTCCTCCTCGAACTAACATTAAAATAATCAGTTATATCGTGTATGTAGATAATAAAATTCCAACGATTGTTAAACAATCTTGTAGATTCCTTACTAAGAACCTCTTGAAGACCGTTGCGCGTTTAGGGTAAAAAGTGGGAACCTGAACGCGTAATCTTCGCCATGCGAACGGGTTTAATCGCACGTGAATTAATATTACCATTGTGATTGCCGTCCGCCAAGGAAGATGTAACACGTGTATCGCGTGTCGGACCGACCTGTTACGATCCATTTCGTTCATAATTCGTTCACGCACGTGCGTCGTGTGGGTATACGGTTGCGACAACACTGGGGACTTTTTGGAGCGGAACGGGCCCCGTTCGATCTGTCCTACAATTCAGCCCCCCTTCGATCAAGCCACGTTTTCGCGAGAGGGAAAAACAGCAAAAAAAGAAAGAAAAAATAAATCAACCGAATCCTTTCGAAACCGGCCGCTGGACGAAGTGAACACACGCCCCGGCCTGCTGGTAAAGGTAAGAAGAAATCGAACGTTATTTACCTTATGGACAGGGCTCTCATCGGTCTGGCGACCAGCAGCCACCTTTCCACCGCCATTACCGTCAAGTTCCCGATACTGGCGAATCCCAGAGTAGACATAAACCAAGCGTACCTTCGGAAGAAGATAGAATATTCAGAAATTATTGTGATACGAAACATTCCTGGGAACTCTTCTCTGTATGTAATTAATATACTGGCCGAAATTTCTATAATGTCATTCGCTTTTCAAATAAGTAAAGTTGAAATTAACAATTGTGCTTCATTATTTCTATATTGATTTGTTTGTTAGTGTAACCTCCATTTTTTTGAATGAAAATACAAAAACAGATACGATGGAGAAATACAATTGGTGGTATTTTGAATATATCAATGAAAATGAAGGTGACTTTATAGAAATTTGAGCTAGTGTATTTTTAAAGTGTGTTAACTGTGATGTGTGCTGTGATGATCGATGGGCAAATTTTTCGAAAATATCCTTCGAGTTTCTTTAGAACATAGCTTCCCAAAGTGGGTGCTGAGGAGATGTTCTAGTTACTGTATTTTCTTTAATTTTAATGTAACTTTTTAAGATTCAAAGATTACATGCAGAACTACACTTGGAAATTTGGATAATAGAGATAGTTTATTCGACGGGGGTATTTAACAGAAAAAACCTTTGACAAAGAGTTAGTGAGTCTAAAAAAGATTGGGAAATTATGCTTTATTTTTTTTTTCAAAAATTTTTTTTTTGACGTTTAATGTTTCTCTTAGTTCAAGAAAAAAGGATTATAGTTTTTCAGTATGAGTATTGGAAACGATCTCTGATGTTCCATCGTAGCTGGTTCACGTTGCAAGAACCCAGTGTAAGTTGTTCAATTTGTACGTCGATAGAATCGCATTTGGAATACGATTAATTCGCGTCCGCCGGTTCTATCGCCTCAGAGAAGGGCGATGCCGTTGGGACGGTAAAATTGAATGGAAAATTCTCGCGGGAAATCATGATGTCCTCGACTCGAAGTAACGCGCTAGAAAGCAGTCGGAATTAACTTCCAATATGTCGTTCCAGAAATATCGGATATAGAAGCTGTTCGGGCTATTAGATCGCAATCACGCAGCTTCTGTGATCGTTTACTGTTAATCGCGAAATTTTTGCTCCAAAGTCCACTTCAAGATAGATTCGTGGGAATTACAGGTGAAGAACGAATATAATCACATTTTGATTTAAAACCCCATGCTTTGTAACATCGAGTCAGATTCGTGTTGACGATTTCAAAGTAGATTCAGCAAACATTAAATATTATTCAGCTGTTCTTTGGTCGGAGTAAAATTTTTAAGCTCTTTTAATTTAATTTATTTAACAGGAAAAATCCCTTTGGTACCAAAAAGAATAGTATTAATTAACAAAATTAGTTACAAAAGAAAATAAATATATATGCACTCGAGTCAACGAATGTGCAAGAGTGTACCCTCCCCGGTCAATTTAGCTGTCGATAGTAATTCTGATATCGATATATAACTTCGAACGCATCGTTTCCTCATCGCCTCCTCTTCGATACGTTTTACCAACGAAGAACACGTGAAAGGTGAAAAGAGAAACGAAAGTGTTACGAAGGTCCAGATTATTATGTTAACCGGGAAGGGAGTAAAAATGGCTAATTTGACAGCTAGGTGAAAGGGACTAATGAAGAGCAACAGATCGAGTCTAATTAACCGGAAAGGACAACGACAAAGTGAAATTAATGTAGAAAAAAAATTGATCAATTGTATCGTTCGATAACCAAAGAGTGACACAGAGAGGATGAAGTATCAAGGGAGGGAGATTAATTGGCAATGATAAAACGCGACAAAATGGCAGGAGTGGACGGAGATGGTCGTAAAACTGCCTGTTGGCGTGTTCGAACGGAAAAGGGCAAAACGTAATCGTTACCGATGCCAGGAAAGACGGCACATAGGACGGGCTCCATGGTAATCTGCAAACAGAATGGTTAAGCGTCCCGACGATCCTGGTTTCGGCAATTACGTCAAACGAACCGCATCTTTATCGACCCGCTCTCCTTTTGCATGATAATTAGGGTGACTGAACCTAATACCGTCCATGCTTCCAATATGGCCACTCCTTATATCTCGCAAAACTATCAACAATTAAAGAAAGGGAAATATTTACAATGTAGCTGTGAAAATTTTTACTTCGGCTGAAAGTCGAAACGAGCCACCGTTTAAATTACAATTCCACGCCGGGCTGGTCGGGTGTTCACAGTTCCCTTGGTTTGTTACGCAATTTGCGATCGCGTGGATTAAAATGCAGTCTCTCCCCCGTGAATATAATACACAACGGGATTGCTTTCTTCCAGGGTCATGGTTTTGGAACATTTTTTTTTTTTTTTGAAAATATTCGATGCAAAGTCACGTGTGTCCGATTCGAGAGAAATTGGTAACATCGTGAGGTAGAGAGGGTGCAACCTCGACTGATTCGACAGAAGGGGTTCGAGTGGGCTTCGATCAAGTGTTCGATTAAAAAGATAAATGAAGGGGGGGGGGGAAATGACGAAAACAGCGACGTCGCGATTCAATTATTTTCTAAGCACTGGCTGCGACAAAAGGGAGACGACGGTTGTTCAGGGTGAAAAGAAAACTGCGCGGAACGGAGTGGCCGGGCTACCTCGCCGCTCCTCAGAGAGATCCCGTGTAATTTCAGTTAATAAACAATATGTTATACCAGAGACACACTTTGTAGCCCCAATACCATCCTCCTCGGATCGCAGAAACCATGGCAACCGGATTCCCAAAGGCGGCCACCAAAAAGTCACCGACCTGAAAGTACACGTCAGAAATTATTGCACCATTTCAAGGGATTGTGTTACGTTTCGTAAATATATACCTAATACATTTCATTTAAATAGTGTACGATCAGTCTACAAAGGTTAAATTCTATCGTCTAGTTAACATCTTGAATATATTGATTCAATATTTACTAAATCTCTCAGGGGACAGATCTCTTATTTTAGTAAAGAAAATGTATCGATCCATGGTATTCTACTTGTATTAAGGATCAAGGAATTTTTTCTTTACGAGACAGACACTTCTTGTTCTTTTATTTCTCTAGAAAAATGTAGTAGATTCTTGCATAATAAATGTTGTTCTTCAACATGCTTCACTTTGTCTACTTAAGAATTATTAAATACAGGATCAAGAAGCTCTCGCTGGTAAGAATATGTCGATTGATATGGATCTCCATTCGATGAAAAATTTTCTGCTCAACACGAACCATAATCGTTCAATCCCTTCAGTTCAAAATAGTCATTTATTATCCAACAATCCAAATACGGGCAGATTCATCGTCCAGATAAAGAGTTTCGAATAACGAATAAATCCGACGTGAAATCTTTACTCGCGTTTCGCTTCGACCGAAAGTTTCGGTTAATCCCCCCGTGTTTGAAAGGGTGCCCACCAACTTCGCGCACCTGGCCGTCCACCTTTCTTTCTCGCACGACCATCGATATTAAAATGTACCAAGGAAATTGCAGGTTGAGTGCATATTGGTTCATGCTTTTGTGCAATCGCCGTGGGGAAAAGTATCCTTTGACTCGGCGGGACGGTTTTAACATTAATAAATAAAAAAAAAAAACAAACGTAATCTTCCAAGCGTTCCCGGCGCCCTTAATTTCCGCGAGCCAAGCGAGGGGAATGAATTCCTCGAAACGGCGGTAAAGTTTCCCAGAATGAAATCTTCTCCCTCGACTTCTGCAATGAAATCCCTGTTTCTGAATCTGATTATAATATTCCGAGAAATTCTTTTAAGAATATATTCTTCAATCTGGAAGCCCAGCGTATTTGGTTTAGTGATCTATCCACTTTCGTGACCAGACATCTCCGATACCCGATGATCAATTACCTGACCATATACATTGATTATTTCCTATTGACGTTCGATTGTACATCATCTGTATTCACAGTATAATATCGATGGCCACGTCTCGGTATAACATTTTTCAAATTCCTTCCATCCCCTCGATCGGGCAGCTTCCAGAGACCATCCATCGCAACAGGATACTCTGTGTCGTTCATTCACAAGATCGAAATGGAACACCCTGTACATTATTTCCTACCGCGTAGAGATAATTCGGTCGGCACGTCGAAAGAACCAGCAGACGGGACATTTATTTCCAACCACGCAGATATAAACATCAAATGAAATTTCACAGGACCTACACGCTGATTTAATTGCCCTCCCCCAGCACCCCCTCCCATCTACCTCCTCTGCTCTGAAAAACCCGGGTACCGTTGTGTTGCAATCGCAGCGAATTATATCATCGCGGTCGTTCATTAAAAGAGCAGTGTATCCTCGACGGGGGATCCCGTTCCGTTGTCAATTAAACGAAAAGTGATGACCGAATTTCTGCGCGACCGACATGGAATCGTAGTGAGCGGGGGGATATGTATGTGTGTATGTATTATATATGGAAAAAGGTCAGTCGTGAAAACTCGAAACGCTTCGACATCGAACCACGATAATTTTTCAATTTTCCATACCGTCGCCGGAACTCGCCCCGTTCCCGGAACAGCCTGTTTCGCGCGCGCTTCCGCTTAGTTTCGAGCACTTTCGGCAATATTAAACGAAAATACCGTGACACTACCGCGCCATCAGAGACCCTGCCAAAGCAAACAGCACTGGAGAATATCGTTTCGATCAATGGATTCCGAGATCCAGTCCCAATATCTCGATAACCCTTCGTGTTACCCTGTTTCTCGACTTCCTTACAGTGTCGGTGAAATATTAAGTCTATATATAAAAAAAAAAATATGAAACAGTATTTGCATAAATTATAGGAAAGTTTATCGAAGTAGCAACTCCAGGCCAATCCTGGACGGTTGGCAACCCTAATCGGGGGGTGTTCGAGACGGTATTCGAAACGGGAGAAAGGCGAGGGCGAATTAAAAGAGGGTGAGAACCGTCCCCACAGAGGAGTATTTCTTTACAAAGTAACTTCTCCGCGAGTAGGGGGAGGCTCGCGTTATAATTTCATTAGGTCCTTCTTGTTGAAGAGGTGGCGGACGTGAGATTAAACAAGGGCAGCAACGCGTCCATCGGACTCCTCCTTTAAAATCGAACTCTATCTAAGGACGAACCTTTTTCTAACTCCACTGCTCGTGGACCACGTCGCCAGTAGGTCGTAAAAGTTCAAGGAGGTAATATCGGTAAACTTTGACACGTACCCTCGCGTCTGCAGTGTACACATTACTTTCTGGTCCCTGTATCGCATCAGGTTTCTCTTGCAAGGCGATGTAACAAGGTCTTATTTTGTAACGAACCCTTGCACAACGTACGGGAGCCTCGAACATTGAGGCTTAACGACACAAGTTTCAAAGATAACCGATTAACGATAGTTCAGAGGATGTCGAATTGCGAATTAAATTAATGAAAAAAAAATTTTCTGTAAAGTTACAAGAAATTACGAAGATCGTATTATTCTTTCCTAGAGACGCAGGGATCATTCGATCGGCCGAGTTATCGAGTAATGTAAGAGAATGCTACCGTTTAATGCCAAGAGCCTTAAATCGTTATTTAAAAATTATGAATTGAAGTCAAAAATATCGATTTTAAATGAACCTATTTTTTACTTTTATTCAAAATTTATTTTAATCCCTTTAACGCTCGAACCCCTCTACTGTGGAAACCAATTATTCCTTGTGATTAGTTAACTCAAAAATTATCCCAGTACATGTACTTCGTCTGTATTTTCACGACGAAAACGCCTAAAAATATGATTTTCTAGATGTGACATACCCATTACATTGGGATGTTAAAGGGCCAACGGTAATTGCTGTCCCGGCAATTTAATACCATAACAGTTCTCCGTATCGGAGTTTCACGAAGTCAATAGCATTTCGAACGGGGATAATTTTACACACACGGCAACAGAAGCGTTTCTCTTGTCCCGTGTGTGAGCACCTACTTGGAAAGGGTTGCATAGAAAGAGACTTCTCATGCGTATTTTACGCGAACCTTAACATTTCCCGCGAATGCTATCGTGATAAAAGGCTCCGATCCACCTGCATTCCATCGAAATACCGTGCTTCTTAAATCAAGACTAAAGATTCCGTCAGTGGGTGCCGTGAACGCGATTACGCGAAAGTTTCGCAACGCGTCTCTTTGGAATTCGAACGCCCCCTCCTCTGGAACGCGACGAAACTTTGCTTCTACGGCATCCTCACCGAGTGTTCGTTAAAGTGCCTGTTGAAGTCTTGCATTTGTATACTGGTCGCGATAATAATCAATTTTCTTCCGTGGAATAATTGCAATTTCATGAAGTTCCAAAGAGACTGCCTGTTTCATAATTCTGCAGAATATTAAATGTAATTCTATGCTTTTTAAAAAAAAAATAAGTTCATTTACAGCGGGGGAGGGGGATCAACGAGAAATTTAGCAGGTGGGTGGGAGGGAGTGCAAGCCCAACAAGCGAATATCTTTACATTCCCCTACCCACCCTATGCCTCGGTAAACATTCTAATTAGACCCCCCGATATCTCCGCAATTTCCGAGTCTAGGTGGTTTCAAAGGTTGATTCTCCAGGGACCGTTTATCCTCAGCCGATGGCTTCCAGTATTTACCACGAGTATATCAATACCGTATTGCTTGGGATTCTACAACCGATTCGCTGTGAAAACAACGCGGTAAGACGCTTATCACGTCTAATGCCGATGGAATATCACTTACGACTAGGTTGACAAGAATCACGTTGACAGGCGTCCATAGATTCTGCGCGTCCTTAATGATCACCACCGCGACCAACAGGTTCATCGTGAACCCGAAGAAACCGATGAAGCCCAACGCGATCGCCGCGCAGATGTAGACAGCAGGATTTATTACTTGTTCCTCGACGATATCGTCCGGCGTCACGCTGCTACGATTCAACATTCTCTGTTTTTTTTTTTGTGATTCAACGACAATAAACAAACACTCTCAACACACCCCCAGGCTACACAACACCGGAAAACAGCCACGTGACTACTACGAAACCGACAAACACATCGATATGACCCACGAGAAAGTGTTTTCCTCTTCTGTTCTGGTGTTTTCTCTTTCACTGAACCTTCGTGGCGAAAAAAAGTGTATCCCCGTCGATCTACCGGAAAACAGTGAGGAAACTTCCGAGTCTACCCTACTCTTTATATACTCCCCAAAAACGAAACCACCACCCTCTCCCCCTGACCCTCGCCGACTGCACGCAGCAGACTCTGCCATCCGCCACCGCCGAGGCCAGATACAACCAACCCCTCTCGACGCGAAAAACCAGCATGCGCGAAATCGGTGGGGGCAGCATCGTTCTCCTGTCATCGTCCCTCTTCCACCGACGGATATCCGCGTCTCATTGCTGCCGGATAGATCTAATTAAGGATTTGTGGGAGAGGAGGAAGTGCAAATGATTCATCCCCACGAGATAACGATGCTCTTAACACGTCCCTCGTGGGTACGCTCAATTAACATCACCTGTGTTTAATTATTATTCTTTGGCAAACAGTTTCCGAGGCTTTTAATCGTGGCTCGGGAGGGTAGACCAGGATGATTGGCTTCTGGAATCTGGTATTAGGATATTTAGGATACTGTAAGGGACTGATGTTTGATCCTGTTGTCTTAACTAGGAGGGATTTGGGGGCAGAGTTGGGCGAAATTTTATTCGAATGATATATAGTGAACAGCAGCTGTATCTAAGATCGTTGTCTTGATTTTTAACCCTTCAACGCCCAGACCCTTGAATCGTTATTTCAAAATTGTAAAACTGATATACACTGGGTGGAATAACTATAAAACGATCCTAAAATTTATTGAGGGGTTGAGGGGGCGATGGACAAAATCATTATCTAAAGGTCAGGATGATGATCTTTTCGTTACAGCTGCTTTTCACTGTATATGATTCAAATGAAATTCTATCCACTTCCAGGGGTTGAGTTTGGGGCACTAGAATATCCTTCTTTTTGTAGAGGCAATTATATGTACAATTTAAAGCTTCCATACTTTTCTCCGTGCAAAACATTGAAAATAGGGTCTGCAGAAGCTGTAAGTGGTTTTACGTCGCGTTTTATAATGGGGGTTACATCTACCCTAGATAGATAAAAGAAATTAATTTTATTTTATACCGAAGGAGCTTTAAGCTTTGTGAAGATATTCTGAAAACTTCAACGAAAGAAGTAGACATTATTGGAAGTTAATTATACAAGGGAACAATATCTATGAAAAAAATACATCCGGGTTTCCGGCGGTTCGATTGAGAAAGTTTTGCTGATAAATTCATCCGACGTTCGCTGCACCAGAGCGCAAGTCGATAACAAGGATAATTACATTCCGTCTCTTCGGCAGGAAAATATTCTTGTACACTCCCACACGGGATTCGGCCGGCCTCGCAGTTTTGGATGTTGTTTGATTGTCGAACTCTTGTTTCCAACTTCGAGCTCGTAAGCGGTATATGATTTATGTTATCGCTGTCGCGAAAACCTTCGTATAGTTTCGAACTTTGATCATTTCATTCTACGATCATTGATTTCTACGGTTACTTCCAGGGTAGATTAATCCTCGTTAACGGAGAACCTTCTTATTTATTTGACATCGAACCAAAAGCATTTGGCAATATAATCTTCGAATTAGTCACTATCAATTTTTTCCTTTCCATTCCATCGAGCTTTTCACGCGGTCGCCCACTCTCGTTCGAATCGAAAAGATCGTTAGTCGATGAGAAAAAAATCTGTAAATCCATTTAACGTCACAAACGGATCATAGTCATTAATCGTGGATTACTACAAACGTTTATTGTCAATATATATCGGCGCGTAACAAGTGGTAAATAAATCGGTGCAATAGAAGGCAACGCGAAACAAACGGGAAAAACGATTTCCCGATTTCTATTCACGGATTAAAAACTTTACGTCACCGTGATCGTTATAAAAACTCACATTGCTTAAGCATACTTGTATAACACCGCTCTTTTTTTTTTCAACGTGACATTCGTTAAATTGGGAGACGAGAAATGAGGAAACACACATGTTCTATTTTCTTAAACAACAGACAGCAATTTTTATTGGGCTCATTCGTAGACAGAAAATTTTCCACAGCAGTGTGTTCACACGCACCTAAATTAATTAACTTACAAATACAAAAAGGGGTAATCGGGACACTGTTATCGATTTACATGTCCTCCGTGTCGCTGTCTGAATCTTCCGCCATCGCCTGCTTCGCTTTAGCTTCCGCCTCGGACTTAATGTCTAATGGCACACGCTCGTGCCTTCCGTTCGTGTGTTTACCTACCCAGCTCATTTCGAGCTCGAATTGCTTGTCTTTCAGCTCGTCGTGAACCAAATAGATAATACGCGCGGCTTCTTTCACCAATTCGTTACAGCTCATTTCGGAAAGCTTTAGCTTTTCAATTTCAGTCTTTGCAGACTGTTTTGCTTTACCTATGAGGTATCGATACAAAGGAAATATTAGAACACAACTGATATATTAGTAACTACAAACTGTATAGACATTAGTACATACCAATGGCACAACCGTAGTATCCGTAAGACACGCCGGATGGATCGATCATGTACATTACCGGTCCGTCGTTTTCATAGGTATTCCGTATTGCGATCTGTAACTGGATGCTTCGGATCTGGCAGTCTCTGCGATCTGGCCAGCATCAGAGATCAAGCCAGAGGCTGCCATACCAACATGTGCATCAATGTTGAATATCCTTTTGTTGGTGCCAGGCTCGTAGAGCTTGGATGTAACTATCTTCTCGACGGCGAATACTATACCGTCCTCTCCACGTAAACCTATCACTGTCCTGTTAAAAAGATGATGTAATATTTATATGTATATAAAAACAAAGAATTAATGATTTTTTGCTTAATCATGAACGAGTGTTAAACAGAATTTTATTCGATTCATTGGAATTTTTATTAATAAAAAAACTAGTAAGTTTCTCTTTACATCCACTGAGCAATTACAATAGAAGTACTAACGAATAAAATATACTGGATCCATAATAAATGAGTGAAAAATTGTGGAGAGGTTAGGTAACATTCGAAAGAAATATTAAAGGAACATGTGAAAAAGTCTTGCACAGAGTCTTACCCTCCATTCTCAACAGCTTTCTGGGCGTATTCAACTTGAAACACACGTCCGTCCGGTGAAAATTGAGAGGCGGACAAGTCATACTGAAATCACCGTATAGGTTAGGTTACGATCTTACTCACGATTAATGATTTTTTCACAGATAATTTTAAAATCAATCGACGGAATAGTTACCCCTGTTCCTATTGAACTCATCCTTCATTCAATGGTGACCACAAATACTGTAGTACTTCGGGCGGAAAAAATTGTTTATACGCGTAAACGGCGTGAATAGGCGAAAATCAAAACTCGATTGTCAGCGCCGCTTGTCGTTTCTTAGGTTTGGTTGGATTTCGAACTCCGAACCGACATCTCACAACGATCACGTGAAGTTACTCTGTACTTCACAAGTAATTTCAAACTGTAGGTAATATACATATAGCCTGCAGACTTTATGCAATTACAATTTATTAACTTTGAACTTCGAAGACTTCTGAATTAATTACAAGGAGAAAGGTGACACGAATTTGTATGTTCAGTTTAGAATTACAATTTATTCATTCAACTTCTTTCTAGATTTATTCTTATTTCTAACGATTTATCATGGCGATTCATTTTAACCCCTCCCTTAAAAAGTTCTTGATATTTTCCTTTTTACAAGTATATTCGGGCGGACAGCCATCCGTGACACCATGCTCGATGGCCTTCCGGAATTCCATCATTGTCTTTTCGTACTTCCCGTCGACAGAAGAATTTCTGCAAAACATTGCACTCGAAACACTCAAGAAAGTAAAATGTAACATTCTTTTTACCTAAAAAAATCACTCACTGTGGCAATAATTTCATCGTTTCGATGATCATTTCCGCGGCTCCAAGATATTCCTTCGCCACGTCTGGCTCTTCACAGGCTGCTCTATACAAACACGTGTCTCCCATCAAGTATCCCAAAGCCAACGCGATTTCACCTTCAGATACAACATTTTCTGCAAAAAGAAACGCATCGATAATAATTGAAGGTACTTTTATCAGATATTTCTCGCTTCTATGATCCTTCGTCAGAAAATGAGTTACTGTTTTCGAGGCTTTCTGATGTAAGATCAGGATCAATTGGTCAGCTAACCAATCAGAATTTCTGTTTGAACGAGGTACACTCTAATAGTAAACCACCACGCAATACACATCAGCATCAGTTTGTAATTCCACCCCCGATGGTGTTTGCTAATAATTTTCATAATTTTTCCCATGACTTACACCTGAAAGCCTCGACAGTAGTAACTAACATAAAGGTGTTCCATTATCTTTTAACCTTCTTCCAAATCGCGTCCTTTGTGTCCATGGTTTCCCAAATATCCAGCCCCAAATACGACCGCTTTCAGTACCAGCAGCAATAGCAAATTCGATAGATTCAGATTCAACACCTATGGCACAAGAATATTTTGATTCGCCCATTCAGTTTGATTCCTCATAAATCAACTGTATATGTATATGTACTTACTTGACTGCTGGTCGAGGATCTCTGCACAAGCTCCTTCGCGATCTCCATCAGCATAGAACCACCGTGTTTCTTGTTGAACGCGTCATTAAAAAAATCCTGTTTGCTGTCCGTGTTCCGTGCTAAAGCACCGTACATCACCAACGCCAAGACTATCAAAAATGTCGCGTTTACGGTCATCCTTCACCACCGAACTATGATATATTCTCAAACCAATTCTTTTACGAACACTATAACGCAATGTCTCGAACTATCAGGAGACTCGATAACCTTATAAGGTAAATAAAGTTCTGGATAATAGATTAATCGACGATAAGTCCCTCAAAGAAAGGACAAGTTCTTAACGGAACGAACCAAAATGACGCCGCTGAGTTGGCGAACTGTCATTTTTATAAGACGGTTTGCAACCTCAACAAACCGTGAAGCCGGCTCGTTTGTCATTCGTGTGCATCAAACCGTGGGTTGGCCAATGTCTCCTTGTTTTCTCCCATTGTGGCGCTGACCCGCGTAGTATACAATCGTTAATAACATTTATTAGAGGGTCCTCCGTGTGTCTTTCGAGCACTTTCTTTCCTCGACGGTAACGGAAATAAGCGGTGAAAGCACGGTGTTCGTGAACTTTTACTTGGTCCGCGAATCGAGACGATGATGCACCGAGACGATTTTGCAAGAATTCATGGTCGAAAACAATTAAATCATACGTAGATACGTACATAATTATCTATAACTATTTTTATTTCCAAGCGAAGTAAAGTTCCCTGATGCTGTTTTAATCATGCTTGGTAGAGAAGACTGGAAAGGACTGAGGTTAAAATATAGAAAGCGAAGTTTAAATAGTCTTAGGTATCCTATGCATAACTAATCGCTGGACTGCAAATGTTTATGCATGTAGTTGCATAATCAAGTATGCAAACAAGATGAAAGAAAAATTTCTATTGCGATAATTAAAGTTTCTAATTAATGTTCACTATTATAGATCATTTAATCTTTGTTGATTTCTTGCTTCTGTGAGACACAATGAGACCCCGATTATGCAAATTGGTAAAAAAAAAATCACTATTCATTATATTGGGTTGAACGGAAAATTCGTGCGTTTTTGGTGAGCTGTCTCTGTATCACAAAAATTATACGAGCATTGTATTAAAAAACTCGTAGAACAATGGGGAAGAGTAGTAGAGACTAATGGAAATTATGTCATTGATTAACCAAATCATATTCCGTAAAAACAATATACACACGAATTTATTTAAAATAAAAACGCACGTACTTTCCATTCAATCTAATATTAGGATATTCACATGTGTATAAGACGTTTAAGAAAAATCCATGTAAAACGTGTTACTGTCGTTGCATAGAAGTTCGGATAATGGAACCCTGAATTCAGCAACGTTCGAATAAATGATGTTCTACTGTAATCTACAAAACATGAATGGTCATACAGAAATGATAACTCGTCGAGTGTTACATTTTTAAAAATTTTTGCTCTCGAGGTACTTGTCTTCGCGAGATCGCATAATTGATCACGCGAAAACTATAAGTAAGGGACGCAAGAGCCGCAACAGTTTGATGAAATTACCGTCTCGCGACTGTAGTAAGAATACAGTCGTGAGCGATGGTTCGAGGGTTGGTCAGATTAAATATTTATCAGGTAGAAGAGACGAGCTCGCGCGTGTCCGCGGACTCGTCCATAAGCAATCGACTACAAAACGAGCTTGAAGTTGCTCGAATATGCACCCAAGGTTCCTCGATATTGAGAAGCATCCCTCGGCGTGGAATTACGGGATGAACAAATAATATCTTCGAGCCTTCGTTGCATAATTGATGCCGCACGCCGTCCAACGTGGAATCTCGTTAATTCTTAATACTTTTATTACCTCGCCAACAACTTTGTTCATGTTGCCTTGAGTTACCTATGTTCAACGTATCTTTCATCTACTTTCGTCTTTTTTAACGTAAAAAAAGATATCGATTCGGTTTCGGTTTCTTATTCGATATAAGGTTAAACGTAACGTTCGAATTACTGCAAGCAAACAGGGCCTGAGTGGAACGCTAAACCGAGGTATACAGAATCTTTCGATTTCGTCCTTTTATGCAATTTATTCTATATTGAATACAGGGGTACCCGAGTATTCGTTTAATGTCTACATTGTCTCGATTTGAAAGTTTCAGGAATTTCTTTTGGTTTTGTTTACACTTCTGAAGGGAAAAATATCGCAGAATCTGAATGAAATTATCAAAATGGGAAATTCTATTTGTTCTTCATTGCGTACAGAACGGATATGTAGCCCATCGATCTTTTTAAAATCTGAAATACAGTAGAGCTGTTGGCGATACAAAGGAGGTATTTTAATTTTTTTTGTTTTTAGTATTTCAGGAAGAAAAGTAATTTTGTTCGCATGAAATTGCATCGAAATTACAGATATTATCGCGTTCAATTTATTTATGGGTACTTACCTCGGCGTAAATGACCATAGTGAGACTAAAGAACCGCCTCGCAGTAATCTGCAATGGTAATTGTCCTCGGCATATAACAATTACCAACAATTTAGCATTCTTCGCCGACAGATTGTACCATTCAGAGTTGTACGCTGCGTTTGCTATATCTGCACTCTGCAAACGGGTAACAATCCATTAACGAAAAAATTAAATTGTCACGGTACATGCGAAAGAAAACATCAACAAGCATTTGGCATCAAGACTTCCCAGTAATTAAAAAGATTATATTAAAATATTAAAATAATCTTGAACTCGAGTATTGTATATATGTAAATTTTCATCCAGAAACTCCCATGAAATTTATATGTATAAAAATTTTCGCAGCATAAATGGACGGGTGAAAACTTCATTAAGCATTACATTCGTGTATATTAATTATACCTCCACTGTGAGTTTCTCTCCCACATGGCAGTACAAGTACAACTGCAATGTAACATAAACTACGTAGAGTGCCAGGAACAAGATTTGAAAAATTGCAATCCATTTTTCTTCACCGCCCAAAGACTACAATCAAAATTGTTCATTAGATTCCTTCCCTTCTCATTTTTATGTAAAAAAAAAAGAATTAAGTATCCACCCTACCATGATAGCTTGGAAAACCTGGAAACACAGTTGCACGGTGCAACCGAGCATCTGAAGCAGTAGCATCATGTTGAAGCACTTCTCTATCGTTTCCACGAACCTTTACCGAGAAAATCCATTTCTCCTGTTCAAACCGACTCAACAGAGACACACACACACTACGATCTAACCTGCCTACTTTCACAGAAGCCAAATCAATCTAGTCTACACAATTAAAATTCAGTGTAAACCGTAACCGTTTGTCCAACAAATAAAACCAAAAATATTACGATAGTTACTAGTATCCACAAAATTTTTCGAAGGAATCGACAAAAAAGAAGAGATGAAAAAACTGTCGGGTCAAAAAAGATCCGAGTCGAATAATTAAATTCTCCGAATACTAACGCGTTAAGGTACACGTGCTTCCTAATGATCCTCCCTAAAGCGATTTGCATCTTCTCTTCCCCGTTCTCCCGAAGACTCAGTATGTCTTGCTTCAAAATGGACAGCTGACCGCACACGTGGAGGACCAACATGGCGACGAAAGTGTCCACCGCCGTATAACTAGCAGCCGCGTACAGCGTTGCGATCAACTGACCGAACGCGGTCATCAAAATATTCCGGCTGGTGGTTTGGTCGTACGGAAAGTATCCACGAAATAGCAATTTGTTTTCGCTATAATTAACGGAATAATATCGCAGGAAGCAGTAAAACCCCACCACGGCATTGACCATCAGAGTACTCCTGATGATCGTTGTCCTCGTAGTCCTAGCGATCCCCATCATGATCTCGCGTTCACTGGGCTTCACATCGCTGGCCCAATCCCGGGACATGCATCTCAGTAAGGATTTCAATGCTTGCAAAACAGGAGGGAAAAGAAAACCGATCGACATGGATCCATAGACATAGAAATATAGACTGCCCATCTCGAGGACAATGTTTTGGGTGGATAAAATGTAATGTTTGAGATTTATCAAAGAAATTCGAGACCTATAGGAATTTAAGAAAAATGTATCTAGTGAGAAATTAGGGATTTTGGGAACTTCAAGTTACCCTAAGCCTTCGACAGGTAACTAACCAATTTATATTATATTCCGTTGACCCTAAAAGACGGTCAACGAATTTATAATAATCAATTTTCTATCGATACGATTTTTACTTCGATCACTTAGATTTAATTCTTTTCGTTTTTTTTTTTTGTGGGAAATATACGCTTTGGAAACCTTATATTTCCTTGGTACAGATATACCTTTCTATAGACACATCGCTGGGGACTGACGATGATATTATAGAGAACAGCAGACACGATTCCAACGGAACCATAGAAACCGTATAGTTCGTAATACATACGTTTACCATTAAACCAAAACGCGATTGTCTTCAGCAGCGCGATCGTGATCGTGATATTTGCCACCGATAAATTCTCGACCACCAGATACAGATCCTTCCAAATGATTGGGATATTGAGCGTCTGCGGGATGCAAACGAAGCACAGCATCATGAGAATAGGTGTCAATACCAAATAGCTCGAGGCTTGATTCCATTTCCTCTCGTCCGGCCATATACCAATGAATCTCATCGTGTAGTGGTTCCATCCGTACACATACGTCAATTCTGATGAATATTAAAGAAACAGAGTAACGAAAAAATTTTGGAAAAATCATCCGACGAGGTACAGACCTTTTTTAACGTCCATCGCGAGAGCCCTTTTTCAGTAAGTAAATGCCTGGCTGTTCTCTTATTCAGAACGCTCGTATCGTTTCTCGCGCATGCTCTCCCAAGGAAGGTGGTACTGCTGCGCGTGAATCGGCTATAGATCAGTACGAATCGTAGGGATCATAGTCTCCCGTCTGCGCTCAAGAACTCGCATAAGTGGAGAGTACTGATACTAGAATACAGTTTCTTACATATTTACGATTGTCCTAAAATTCAGTCACGCTTGATACAGTATAGAAACAGTATGGAAACTACGACGAAAGTGATTTGTATAAATTATGAACCAAAGCACGAGGACAAAAAATTTGGAATGGTTATGGTGAAGAAATAACAATACTTCATCCGATGTATACAACTGTTTATGGTATCTTAAGTAAGTAATCTTCAATTTATAATAAGAACCGCATTGATCGTAGGAAGTAAGGTGATGTTTTGATGATTTCTTTCGAGTCGGGAAATAATAACGAAGTGGCACCGAAAACAGTGACGCTACAGAAATATATTTTGAACGGTTCTAAACATCTGCGGGTCCTTTGTGTTCACCCATGTTTCACCCTAGCAACTAGAAGTGAGGTAGTTACGAATATTTCACCCAGGTCAGTCGTTCGTGGGCATTCGTAGTGATAAGATGTCTTCGCGTTATCGTACATTAAAAATCTTCTATCGTGTCGTGTAATAATCGACTATAGTAATTTTCTAAATCTGTGAAATCTAAGCTCATTTATTTATTGTAACAATTCAACTAAATTTCACGCTCGTTTCGCAAAAGTGTAGTTACTCGGTGGTCGCTGTGCATTTTTATTTTCTACTTTGTTTCTCGATTTTCGAAAGTTCCATTAAAATATTGGAAAATCAGTGGCAGATAAAAGACGTGAGTACGTATTCAATTAATTTCATCATATCACCAGACTAGATTTCTCTGGGACAACGTTCTACAATGTGTCCGCGTATTTTCACCGAATTTCGACAACAGAAAACTTCCAGATTGTCAGTGCAACCCGTTCCCGGTCGCGGTGCGTTCATTGAGTATTCGTAATCGCGACACGAAAACGTTTTCCGATAAGAAGTTATTATACCCACAATCTGGAAGTTCGCGAAGAAACACACCGTGCAATTCGAATTGCTTTCGGTCTGTCCCTATGACTACGAGGATCCAGACGTACGTTGCTGTTTCCGACTATAATCTCTAGATTTGTCTAATGGTGTTGTTCAGTTGTCACTTCCAGTCACTGTGAGCAGTACTGATAGATATCCCATTGCTGTTCTTATCACCTGAAACGAGATCGGTGATCCTTCTGACTCCGTACTTTTTCACCAAAAAGCAATTGAATATAAAATTAGACTATCTGGTCAAAGTATGAAATCAGAGTGTGAAGTTAGTGTATCAAGTTAGAGTATGAAGCTAGGGCAGTGGTGGCGAACCTATGACCCGCGGGTCAGACACTGATCCACGAAGGTTTTTTAAATGACCAACGCGTTGATTTTCATAAACTTATTATTTATGTCATAAAAGAGAGAACAGACAATCGAAAATATTACTCTTTTTACCACGCACACCCCACCCCACCCCCCTTTCAAAGTGACGCCGCTGACTTAGTGACCCAAGGGCTAGGATTAAAAAAAATAATGAACACGATTTGACCCACTTCTCAAAAAGGTTCGCCATTACCGAGCTAAAGCATGAAGTTAGAGTATGAAGTTAGAGGATCGAGTTAGGGAATGGAGTTAGAATGTGAAATCAAAAATGTATTATTTGAGTATCGATTGTTAGTTTAGACCACTGTGGTAGACTCGTGGATGGTGATCGTGAACCTGTACGTACGGAACTGAACAGTTCCATAGAGAAGGTACCGAATTTGCCAGCTGTCAAACACAGTGGTCGAGTAGATCTTAGCATGATGAATAAGAGACACCTGGCTTCTGCGGGTGTGACATTGTACCAGCTTGTGTTGTACGCGGAAATGGCCATACTACTGCCCTGAAATACACAGCGATTGAGACCATGTACTTTCTTTGAGTTTCAATTTTCGTAATCATTTCAACAATGTGTTTTTGTATCTTGTAATGTATTTATCATATTTATTGTGTTTTTTATGAAAATAATTTTCTTTATTTATTGTATTTCACATGGGTCATATTCTGGATCTATAGGAGAAACTATAATTGGATCCCTAGTGTGGTTCGTAAAAGTGTCGTTTGACCTTACTTGGACAGCAATTGAAGTCAGTACAATGTCAATTCGTTAAACTCACTTTTGGTATCTGTAAGGAGGTCGTCCTTTGGAGCATCATCGTGATACATCCCCTGGATATAACAGCCCCAAACAACATTATGGATCTGTGAGAGACTGTTGGACGTCGAAACAACGCTACGTGATCCTACAGATACCAATGTGTGATTTGCAAAGCCTTTCAAATCTATCTCCAAGTGTGGAATCATTCGACACCTTTCCGATTTATTCGAGGGATCACGGATGTTTCCTTATGGATACAGAACTTCGATCGATTTTATAAATTAATACATGAAAGATGGAAATAGTTTTCAAATATTTATTCATGAACATTGAAACGGAGATCGTATAGAATACGCTCGCTCCCTCATTTTCATTGATACTGAGACAACATATCGGAACCGCGTTACTCATTTACGAATCTACTGATTCCATCAAAACCGAAAGTGATACTTACTCCGACTAGAAGTAACTCGCCCACATAACAATAAAGATATATATGGACTGTAATGAATACCACGAACAGCACGAAAAACACCATTTGAAAGTTTAACAATCCGTTTTCGTCCTTCATTATAACCTAGAAATCACAAATTAATATGAACAATTAGCATCACTTTGGTAATCAATCGAGGTAACTTACAGAGAAAAATAAAAACCATTGAAAGCATATTTCGACAGTGCAGAGCAGCATTTGTAAGAGTAGGAGTTTATTGAAAGACTTCTCGATACTAGCAGCCATCCTTCGGTGAAACAGAAAATGTTCATCGTTGTATTTGTTGCGGGAAGATAGAGATAGAATGTCTTGGCTGCTCAAGACCACCATAGACTCATTATACTAACATACTTTAATATTTCTCTCGCAGCAAATACTAAACGTATACTTGTAAGTAATGATATAAGGAATCAATGTTCTCGGTCAAAAATCATCCACGATATATCAATTTCTCACAGTCATTTTAATTTTCTGCCTCCCCCTTTTCTTGTTAGCAAGTCTAGGTATATTGATCCCACACTATTCTTCAAAAAATACTAGAGCAATTCTAAGTCGATAAATAGTAATATAACTTTTTCACATAATAAAATAGGTAACTAAATTGATAAAATAGGTCTACAACAATCTTAGACCATTTTGGAAAGGTGGCCTCGAGCAAGTCAATTGATTCTGCCTCAAAAATAGGAGCCTATTGTTCACCAGTTCTGATGCTCGTGTCTTTTCACGATCCAAACTAACTCCATCTCTCTCTCGTACGCTTTTCTTGGCCCGTTCGTTTCTTCCATCAACTTCTCTAGCGCAGTAAGCGGCAAAAACCTGCGCCATGTTGATCAGTATGCAGATCAACGTTGGTCTTACGTTGAACGGAAAGAAGCCAGGATAGATTACTAAACGGTGTTGCGATTCTTCGTTCCAGTCGCTGGTTAGTATCTCGAACAAACGGAGACTGATGTACGCGGTAACCATAGTCTGGGTTAGGATGGTGCAACAGATGGATATATTCTTCGTGACTTTAGCGTGGTTCAACATGGTTTCCCGTTCCTCCTCGGTCCTCACGGTGTACCAGTCGTCGTAGAAAGACTTGACGAGGGGCTGAAGATCTTCGTATACACATAGATCACTTATTTATCGGTGAGATTAAGATATTAAATGAAAATTTTCTTCAGAATTAATTGCCCAGACTAATTAAAAAGGAAGATTAGCGTTTTAACAATTGGCCACTTGAACCCTAAGAACACTTGTTGAACATGATTGAAGCTTTTAGGAATATTGGTTAACTGTTAGCTAAGAAATACATGTTATATGAATATCTGAATAGTACGTAGATCTCGAAAAAAAATTACTTTACTCTCGATACGGTCATTCAATTATCAAATTGTTATAAATTGTAAGAAGTTGGCTTCAAATAATTTTCGTGTTATTGCGTATTCTCATTCATGGTCTTACCTGTTTGACGATACCAAGCGAAAGCTATTTTTATGACTGCATTCAGGGCAGGGATTTGCGCCAATGTCAGGGTTTGGGTAATCAGTTCGAGGTCTCCGTCCAGTCGAAACAAATTCAAGGTTTGCGGCATAACAATAAAGGACATAATACAGGAACAGGATATTAAAGCTCTGTAGCCCCCTGATCGGCCATTCCTTGTCTCTGGATCTGGCCAGACGCCAGTTATGAGCATATTTACACGGTTCCATCCGAGAGCCTCTGCTAAATCTGTAAAATCGTCAGAGTAGCGAAGTGTTAACTACTTGAGGGATATCCTTCGATTGCTTTGCAGCGTATTTATTCGCGTTGGTACAATCGAACACTTTGCTAACGGAAAAGAATTATTATCACAGGTAACGTAGGGGCACACTCTGCTTGCATATTCTCACAAAAGCAAGTTATTAATTCGTATTAGTCAAGATAACAGATCGAATGACTGTAAAAAAAACTCCACTGATATTATAAAATGATCGTCCGATACTATAAAACTTTCTTCTCAAATTATCACAGTTAACAAGCGACCACTGTTTCGAATGTTTTCGCGAAATAAACTTGTCTGTTTAATACGAAGGATTGATAAATTGAAGAACTATTATTGTTGGTAGATCGTAGAAGATAGCAGAAATTTTTGTATACTTTGATTCTAATGACAGTTATTGTACATTTTATCTCGACTTTTCACTTCTTCGTTAATATTTTTGGCATTATTTCTGCTCCGCAATGAACAAGAACCACGCTTCCAATAAATTTGAACTTTCAACCGAACCAAACTGGGAAACTACCTCGCTCGAGATCCATAGGCACCACTCGCGGGTAGACTGCACGTTAAAGTGACCACCCACGAAATTCTCTTTCCGGTCTTGTGCTCCGCATAGCCCAACTAGAGGACGCATGCTCGTCTCGTGCAAAGAAAAGATACCACCCCTTGCATACGATATTAGAAAGTCAAGTAGAACGGAACTGTAGACGTAGTTTCGTTCTTTCTTCTCTCATTATGACGAAAAAAATTGCCAAATCGATGGCAACTTTGTCCGCGAACTGTCGTTAACGTCGTTGTTTATTCAAGCCACTTCCCAATTCTTCTAATAAGTTCCATTCTCTTCCCTACGCCATCGATAAGTATCGCTTATTCTCATTAATTCTACAGTCACTGGAGGAGGGTGTAGAACTTCGAGGTCAGAAGGAACGTTTCTCGTACATTCAAATGAGAATTTGTTCGATTCGTTGGAATCGTACACGTCACACCGGAAGATGTCCATGCTCCAAGGTGTATTTATATACCATAAAACAAAGTCGGTGGGATGGGGTTGAACGTTTGCCCGAATACTGGTAAAACGTATACTTATAGCTTACTTAGAATATATATCACAATTGTGTCCCTAATACTGTTACCTGATTTATTTTATTTAATACAATCGTAACGTGTAAAGTATTGTCAACAAAATTTTGTTCTGGGATTCCTCGCAGATAAAAGACGTGAGTACACATTCTATTAATTTGATCATATCACCAGACCTGAATTACTTGAAATTTTCGAACTCCATGTTTGTTATAATTTTATAAAATATCTCCAGATAAATTAACGCGTATACACAGGAAATAATATTTATCGAATGTCGTGTACTGCATTGTATAATTCACAAAGTGTTCTTAATATGAACACTGGAACGCTGATGCAGAATTAACGGTGAGTAGTAATTTTATTACTGTATATTGTTCCGGTGTATCTTATTTCTTATAGATCGCTCAGGTTTTCATAGCTCGTAGCACCGACAAATATCCGGCGGAAGTCTTTATAACCTAGAAGAGATCTTTTTTCGTCGATATCGTCACGGTAGATTACACATTTTTTATGAATTTAATTAATTTTAACTTACGGCACTGAACAGTTTGAGGGAAAACGGGCTAAACTTTCCAGCAGTTATCTGAAACGACACTTTTGCTCTACATATTATAAGAACCAACGAGACTGCTTGTTTTGGTGGCAAATCGTACCAATTGCAATCGTACGTTGACTGACCAAGCCCGGTGCTCTAGAAATTGGAATATTATTAATTTATTTTTAATTTAATTGTAATTTAAATTAATTTGTATTATGTTATACGTGGGAGTGATTAATGTTTTTTTTTTTCTTAAAAGTGGAACAGAATATTGGGAAACAAGGTAGAAAATTGTGATAGTATCATAAATGTTTGTTTCTCCGGATGTACTAAATTAAACAGAATATAGTAATATTATTTAGTCCATATTATAGTATTTATGGTTCAGTAGTTTACGATCGAAAATGATTACGTCAAATATCAATACATAAAAAATTGGTACCAAAATTATTTCGAGTTCCGTGGAACCCAGAAGAATCCATAGGCGTAGCCATGGGGGATAAAGAATTAAAATAAAAAATAAAAAATTAAATTACCTCCCCAGACTGATATACTGGCTACGCCCATGGAAGAATCAACGTATATACAGAACAAATATCAGAATGTTAGTTACTTACTTCCGTAACCAACGCTTCCCCGACATAACAATAAATAAACAAATGCAGCATCGTGCATATTACGTGTAAAATATAGAATATCAAACCGACTACAGGCAAGTCTGCGTCCTCTTCACCGACAGACTATAAAACGAAACAATTTTCTTAATTTCGCAACTCCATCGTCAAAACGATAATCCACTTTTTCCATAGACGTACAGATAGCATACGGTATCCAGTCAGACACAGCATCGCGGTGCCAATCAGGATTTGCACGAGTAACGTCAAATTAAAGCAATCCTCCACGATCACTGCGAATCTTGAACGCAAAGTATCTAGATCAAACGTGAATCATTTATCATTTCCAAAAGATTTCAAACTTATTTCTCTTGTCAATCAGAAAACCAACGTGACATTCGAACGATTTGATCGTCGATACGAACCTCGACAGCTGATTATGTCTGCACACGATGAACGCGAGTCGCTCCTGGAACTTCGCGAAATCGTTTTCCTTGGTCGCGTTCGCTAGATTCTCGAGAGCCGCTCGGAGAACGGTTAATTGTCCGCACAAATGTAACACGAGAACCGCGAAAAACGTGTCGACGCAAGAGTAACAGATCGCCATTAGTGTCGTCCCTATGAATTGTCCGAACCAGGTGATCTCGAAATTCGGACTTTTCTTCGTGTCGTAAGGGAAGGTCGCTGGATGAAGAAGCCCACCTAGATCGGCCTCCGAGCTGTTCTCCATGTTACTCCAGATTTGCAATGAGATGAACGCGAATAGCATTATATAGGCCAGAGTGGAACAGAAGATCGATATCATTCGACTTAGCTTCGCGGTCTTCAGCATCATTTTACGGTCTGGTCCCGAAATCGGTTCCGACCAGTCGTCCAGTATTTGTCTGAGCAATAGCGCCAGGTCTGGAACGATAGTGATTTGAAAAAAAAAAAAATTGTAGCCTAAACAGGAATCGTACAATGCTTTTCCTTGTAGTAGTTAAAGTTTAGTAGAACAATTGTATTAGAAGCTTCAGTGTATGTGAGTTAAAATTTTTTTGGTTGAAATCAGAGGGATATCGAAAAATCGATCGTTGATCAAGTAGAATCAATCATCAATTTAGAAGATAAAATAAGAGCCAAAATTCGAGAATACGCTTGTAGTTACCGTTTTTATAGTACCATAGAACGATCTGCTTGGCCAGCGCGAAAAAGATCGGTATATTGATCGACAGATTCTCGATCACTTCGTCTTGACTCGTTGATTTCAGTATTAAATTCGCGGTCTGAGGCACGCAGATGAACATGAACGTGACGAAGGTGGTTGACCAGAACACCAAGGACGAAATTGCACGAGAAATATTCGAAACCTTCCTTGGTTCCGGCCATACGCCCAACAAAGTTAAGTTGAACTGACTCCAGCCCATCGCGAACTCCATTTTCCTCTTTGATCTTTACGCTTGAGACAATATTCACAGTGAAGATTATTCAATTATTTCTTCATTTCATCTTTGGAAACTTTCAAACACAGCTGGTCGATTCGATAGGTCCCAAGTATACCAATCCAATGTCCTAGAATCTATATGTACTGGAATCAGGAAATCTTTCGCGTTTAGGAAACAATAATTTTAAATTCCAAATCATTATAAATAATCAGTATATGTCCCCACAACCGTGCATCGATTATGCTTTATTTTCAAAAGTTCATCCCACAAGAATGCAAGTCGTACGAGTGAATCGGTTACGGATTACAATAGATTTCTCTAGGCAGACGTTCTTCGAAGTGTCAGAACTTCGTCAAACTTCGAAGACGTTTCGGCAACTGAAAAGTTTTCCAGAGTGTGCGCGGCAACCCGTTCCCGGTCGTGAAGCGTTCATTAGGTATTCGTGGTCGCGGCACGTAAACGTTTTCCGATAGGAAATTATGGTCACAATCTGGAAGTTCGCGAAGCAACACACCGTGCAATTCGAATTGCTTTCGGTCTGTCCCGATGAATACAGAAACCCAGACCATCGGAAATTAAATATGACCGGCAGACGAAAGAAGTTTCGTGGAAAGAAGTTTTGCTGGAGAATTCGTCTTTACGAATGTACGGGCTCGATTTGAGGATCGATTCAAGCCACTTCAAAATTCTTCCAATAAGTTCCATATTCAGTTCCTCTACGCCATCGATAAGTATACGTCGTTAATTCTATAGGACACTGGCAGGAGTGGGTGTATAACTTCGAGACCAGAACAAACGTTTCTCTTACAATGCAAAGGAGAATTTATTAAACTCGTCAGAATCGTACACGACACACTGGAAGGATCTTCATTCTCCAAGATATATTTACATTCCGTAAAACGAAGGTTGGTTGAAACGGGGTTGAACGTTCTCCCCGAATACCGTTAAAACGTACACTTACAGCTAATGGACGGGGTATAAATTCGTTGTATTCTGAAAACCTTATCACCCACCGCGGGACGGGAAGTAAATAAATTATCTGTGCTAACAAAAATTCAGGTTTCAGTTGCCGTTCGATCCATCCGCGAAATCGTATCAACGGGATCGACCGAACGCCTCGAACATCCCCGGTGATCGAGTAGTGAAAGTGGGGAAGACCCAAAAGGAAACTCAAATTTGACCCGAATCTTGTGTTCTAACCACGACGTTTGAACAGTGTGAAATAATCTACCAGCTAAAGTTTAGGTCAAGTTTAGGTTGCCCCGAAACCACACGGGGTCTTCGATATTCGATCGCCTTTCTCGATCCTACGTACGTAGATCTCTATCTTAAATTAGTAGTTTCGGTAGGGTAATTAAATAGGAGCGGCAGATATATGTACACATTTTGGCGCGAGACCGACATCGCGATTTCTACTCTAAGAATTTTTCATTCCTTCGCCTCTACGAACTCGAGCTGAGCTATTGTTCTTACATTTAACAATTCCTCCAAGAACTTCAATCCTTCGATTAGACAGTGGTATCCAAAACTATCTCGGCCATAACACTTTTCGTGTAATACATTCTACTAAATACCCACGTTGTCACGGTCGTAAAAAAAATTTATAATCGACGGATAATTGTGTATCGATCTCAACTATTCTCTAGATGATCATAGTTTACTTATACAAACCCTGTATCAAGAACTAACAGAAGAACGTGTCTAATGGCCCTGGTACTAATGCATTCCACTGTATTTCTTATTCTAGAAGTTTTTCATCATTCACGAAGGAATTCGATCGAAATCCCCAAACGATGCCAGGCTCCAACGGAACGGTCGAAATCGAGAGAATCGTCGTGGAATGGTATCGCGACCGAAGGGAACGAATATATACGTTGGAATTCTCCGTAAAAAATCCGACGGTTGCTTTCACCAGGTCGAACGATTGTTATCGGCTTCTCCGCTTTCGTGCTCGATCGAGGCGTTGTTCAGAAAAAGGCTTTTGATCGTCGGGGATTTAGAAGAACACGTTGCCTGGCCTGGCCTGGGGACACAGAAAGCTGGAACAATCGTGTCTACGGACTGCGTCCATGACCTCCTGGAAGTGGCTGGACACCTGGACAGCAGCTCCGGGCTGGATTCTGTAAAGGCATGCAAACGGTTGAGCGATTAATGGCCTGGATAGAAATTTCATTAGAAAGCTCACGGATAGAGTAGCGCGTTGTTCGAGAACCGCCCGTCTGGATACTCTTCTCAGATAATTGATAGCCAGGTGGAATGAGGTAATGCCTCTGTAATTGACAGCAATACCATTCGAGTTGTTAATAAATCGTACGAATAAAAACGACGCCTGTCCGCGTGCGTCACGACGCGAGGCGGAGTCGAAAGTTGAAATTGAATCACGTCCACGTCGATGGGATCGAGGCGAGAAATTAGTTGGAGTTGGAGATCTTTGGCATGAATATATGTATATATATTTCTTCAGGGATCAATGGACGGAGAGAGACGATATCTTTTCTCGATGAGAAAAAGAAGCAATAATTGAGACATTTACTCTAGTCCCTGTGATGAAATCCTCTAGCGAGCAAAAGTCCAGGAATTTCAATCTTTCAACGACACTGACGGACAAATGGAGTAGATGTTCAGGTAATTTTAGTCTGGAATAGATGATTTTCTTCCGTTTAACACTACTATCCGATCGTACTTTGTATATTTCCAACAATAATAAATATCGTTAGTTCAAAATAACACACAAAAGTATGGAAAAAAAGAGTGATCGATTAATCGGGAGGGAGTTTATTTTTTCGGGTCTTTCCCCACGACTTTTCATTCGAACAATAGTAACTTACGATTGGACAAGCAACGAGAAGAAAAAAATCAAAGACGCACCAGGGACGTAGGGGAGGGGCGACCAGACGGAACCGTAGCGAGAAACAGATAACTTTCTTCCAGCTTTCGCCGGCGACGTCCTACTGACTGATTCGACTTTTACCTCTTAGCACAATTTCACTCCGTGCATACGGGTGTGCGCGTAGCTCTCGTCACGCACGGGCCACGCGAGTCTTAGGAAAATCCCGCGGAACCTCGTTTCGCCGCGTCGAATCGAGAATCAAAGGAAGATAGATGACGCGCGTATCACCATCCATTCGTCTTAGAAACATTTCTTTTACCCTTGGCTGTGTGTTCCGTGGACACAAAAAGCACAAGAATTTTCGAGCCTATCCTGAATAGAGCCCACGACACTTTTCGAATGAGATATTTCTTTAAAACGAAAGTCTGAACCGATAGGTTTTTAGGTAGGCTTTTCAAGGGTACGAATAGATCGCCTGTACAAGATAGACGGAATTAGATTTATGGAGAATCTTCTCGGTTTCCATGGTGTGAGCGATTAATTATGCATACAGCTGTTAATTTGTATCTTTCCTACGAACGAGAATAGCTATTTTTTGTTAAAATCGGTTTCTTTGGACCTTGGAATATAAAATTCCTCTAGAACCGTTTTACGGTATCTACGATGTTCTTACTCTTTACCATCGAGAGTGGTTCTCGTTCACGATAAACAAATTCGTGATTGGCAAAAGAAAATAAAAACTAAAAATATCCACCTTCCTTTCCGAGACTAAATTCAGTCCGACGATTTTCCCCCTCCCTGGCTGTCGGCCGTTTCCCGCGAAAACGAAAGCCCATTTATCCGGTTCCGTCCAAACATAGTCAGCTACATAACTGTATGCTAACCAGGGGCAACATTATATTATATCACCGCTTCCGGCTACCGTTTTTTTCTCTTTCTCTATTCAACCCGTTTTTTTTTTTTTAACTATCGTACGAAACAATTCTTCTAGTCCATCCTAAGAAAACCAGATCCCCCGTACACACAATACCGTCATGAGAATAGCAACTGGAAGTGTCCTGCGATTTTGATGAAACTTCGTATATCTGTTAAACAGTCAAAAATAAGGGATACGTATTTTTTTTTCATCAGCTGTGGCACGACCTTAAGGGGTGAAACCACCTCTCGAAGTTTCAATCCGAAATTTTTTTGTTATTCTACATAAAAAAACCGCGAACCTCGTCCATTAGAAGTTTTCATGTATCTCCTCTGGTTTTCGAGATAGTACTTTCGGGTCGAAACTTCGAGGGGTGATTTCACCCCTGAACTCTTTGAGGCACATGATTTTAAAGAAAATAAAAACCCTAGTTGCACAGAATTTTTTTTAATATAAAAAAATTATATAAAAACAAAATATTGAACTGTATGACTACGAGTAACTTCAACTTTTCGAGGTGGGTTAAAATATAGCCGATAAAACAAAATACGTATCCCTTATTTTTTACTGCATAACAGACATACGAAGTTTCATCAAAATCGGAGGGGGACACTTCCGTGGCTTCCCTTGTTGGCACATTCGGGACGGGCCGTAATCGTTTTCCCGACCATTACTCGAAACAAGCGATTCCAGTGTACTCACAAGCCCAGAAGGGCGGCCATTTTCTTCTCCATCAGGATCACCGCGTCTGCGCCCCTTTGGATCATCGCGTCGCAGAATATCCTCTTCGCGCACGGCGTGTTCGTCCAATCGCCATCGATATGGGCCACATCCGCGATCTCTGCGTTCTCCAGGTTCTGGAGAGCGTCCTCAAGTTCCTGATCGTCTTCCACGCTTCGTCTCTTCCGTCTCTCATCTCGTCCGTCCACAGAGCTCGTCGATCCTTGATCGGTTACGCTGCTGTTCAATTCATTATCGTCGGAAACGTCGTTGGCGAATTTCTTGTCGAAGAGTTTCCGAGGCACTGACCCGCCATCCTCCACCACGAGAATCGACGTGTCCTCGTCGAATTTCTTCGCCTCGTCCGTGGTCTTCTTCCTCGGGATCAGGAACTCCGTCACGTCGATGCTACCCTCGCGACTCGGCAGATCGATCTCCACGATCTCGCTGATCGGATCGGCTCCCTTTCGCTGGAAACGTTTGTTTCGAACTAGATTTTTATAGTTCCCTTCCGTCTGGAAGATGTCCAGGTAATTGAGACTCCGTTTTCTTCTGTTGTTGGCAACCGTGGCTCCAGTCTCTGGCCTATTCCCTTGATTCTTCTGATCTTCTTGGAGGATCACCAGAACACCTTTATCGTCGTTCACAGACCCGACACCGTCATTGTTATCAGCATTCTCGTTCCTTGGAACGTTCTCCAGGAGGTACACTGTATCTCCAACCGGTCCTGGTCCGTTTTGCTGTTCGTAACCGTTCAAAAATGGTTGATCAGCGTCCAGAGCTCTCTGATACTCTATCTCGGTACCGATTCCGTTGTTCGATCGCTTCAGGACGTCGACGTCCAGGTATCTACCCACTGCCACAGCTCCTATACCCAGAGCAGCGCCTGAAGCTACCAATCCCAGGGCAGGGATCAGGATACTGGAACCGGAAGCGACTGTTCCGATCTTCTCTTGAGCCTCGTTGCCTTTCGACAGGCCGAGATTCTGGGATATCTTGTGGGTGGCTTCCACCAGAGGATCGATTACCGGTCGTGTGAACTGCGACACCTTCTCCACACCGTTCGAGAACTGGCTCCTGAGGTTCTCCGATATCTTGACCCAGAACGGTGCGTCGTTTGGCCGTTTCAAACCGTAGAAATGCTGATTCGGATAATAGTTCTTCGTGGTGTAGGTGTCGACTATGTTTTTGTCGTTCAACACGTACTTTTTCTTCTGCCGTTGCTCCGTGAACGAGTATTGATTTTCAGGGAAGTTATCTGGTCGTTTTTTCTCGTTTTTGAGGATCTTGGCCGGTTGCACGCCCAGCTCCGGATGAGCGTACTGGAGAACAGGCGCCCTGGCGCCTGGTTTCAGCACGACAGGCGCGATCTTTTGGCTCTCTGGCGTGTAAAGCTGCGAAACCGGGTACACAGCCACTCCGTCGGTGTGCAGCATCCTTTTGTGACCGTTCGCGCGATAGTTGTCGTTCCTTGGCTCGTACACCTCTGCTTTTAAAGCCTCGTTCTTGTAGTTCTTCGGGTCCCACTCGAAGAACACGTTGTTGCCCTCCTCGTCCGCGTCTTTGCCGTACCTGTTGAACGAAATGATGAAGAAATTGTGTTGGTGTTTTTCCCGGGCGTTTAATTCGATTCATTTTGTTACGGAAAAGAACAAAATTTTCATTCAAATCGAATAGGGTGAACTCACGAAATCATTTTTGGTTGGGAGCTGAGAGTTTGTTTGGTTTTATTCTAATTAATACGATCTTTGTTATAATAACACACACTCATATACTACAAAAAAAAAAAATTCAAACAATTCTAAACTGTTCTTTCGCGAAATCAACAAAAATTTTGATAAAATAACAGGTCGGCAAAGTGACGTTTGTCCTGAATCTTCTAGGAGAAATGTTCCCCATCGCTTACCTTCGATTCACGTTTCTGAAGAATCTCTCGAACCTCTGTCTTTCCCCGTTTTCCGTTTGGTAGGAGCTAGCAGACGGATCCAAGCTCTCCGCGGTGCTACCATCGCGTATCAGTTTGTTGTTGATCACTCTGGCGTTACGCCAGGTCTGGATCTTGTCGATCGGTTCGTCTGGTACCCTCTTGCCGTGGATCACCGGTGTCCCATCCCTGTCCAGTGTCATCGGTGTCCTCTTTGGTCCCGATTTCACATTTATCTCCGACCGTACGATCACTTCCGGCGGCACGTTTTTCGCGTCCCTGTTCTTCGACAGATTCGCGCCCATGTTGGTCCTTGTCGATCGAACCTGATGCGGCAAGAACGTGTAACGTGTCTTGTCGTCGTTCTGATCGTTCACGGGCAAGTTCCTCTGCGTACGATCTTGGAAATGTCGTAGCAAAAGCAATCCACCGGTTGGGAACGCGGTATCGAACCTTCCATAATCGGTTCTCTCTTCAGCGGTGGTCTTCGTGTCGCTCTGAAGAGGTTTCCAGCTTTGATACTCCTCCGTGACAGTTTCCTCCAATTGCACCCTTCTTCCATCGATGCCCAGAGGCGTCCAGTTTCCATAATCTATATTCTTTTCGCTGACAGCTTGCTCCCTCCCCGGATCCACCGTCTTCTCTTCCGTCGACGCGTTTTTAGCGTTCGGACTAGCACCCTTCTGACTATCAGACTCCGATAACTTCGCCCTGAGTTGCTCGATCTGAGCTTCCTCCAGTTTCCTGACCTCTTCTTTGCTCTTGATCTCGTTTCGTCTGGGCTCGGATGCGTCCAACGGTGAAACGGAGCTGTCGCCAGTCTTCTCGAGATCATCGATCTTCTGGGTTTCTGGAAGCTTGCTAGAGACTTCGAGATTCTTCGTATCCTCCAGGTGAGACTTGTCCCTTCGTTTCACGATCAGAGTGGCTAGGCTACCCTCGCTGGTACGGACTTTCAGCTCCTCCGTCTCGCCTGGAAGACTCCTCGAGACTTTGAGCATCGTCCTCGCGTAGCTAGGCTTCGGTAGCTCCGATCTTGCCACGGCGATCATCGCCAGACCGCAGACAGCCAGGAATAGGGATACCTAGAGTGCGCAAAAGGGAGTGTAAGTTCGCTTAATTGTAGCATCGAACTCTGGATAAACCATTCCGCGTCCGTAACTAATATGTAATGTTGGCAGAATCTTCTCAATTCATTCGTGACACTTTCATTAATATATATTGAAAATCGTAAAAGTTTAAATTTTCATTCGTGTGTGATTCCTTATCTCATCTACGTCTGTTTACATTGTATGCCGACTGTCGGTCGCTGGCCTTTGATGTTATGTGAAGATTTATTCAAAGCCTTCGGGTAAAACATACAAATAAAGGATGAAAATGTCATCGACGCTATGAGTGAAACGCCATGAATACAAAAAGTATAAATTTATTTAATCGACGATCGTCGATAAAGTTACTTTTTTGTTGAAACTTTGAGTAACGATAAAAATTTTGTTATCTTTCTTTCTTTATTCGCGATTTTTATTTAGATAAAAATTTTGCCCACCTCTGCCTGTCAGTCAGTTAGTTACAAACTAATCCCCGGTGTTTCACTTAAAATTCACTGTCTGGGTCGTAAAGTCTCGGCGTAAATGAGTTTAGGAATCGCTAGATTTCGCGGACGTTATAATTACAAACTAGCATTTATGTAACGAGCAACGACGGTTACGAAGTGGTGGTTCCTCGATGGAAACAGGCCGGAAGTAGTCCCATTGTGCATTCCTCGATTCTTGGGCACAACGTAACGCGCGTGCGCGCTCGCGAGCACAGCAACTCCGTAAACAGCGTGTACGGTCTTACGCGTCGTGACCCACTTTTAATTCTCTTCGGTGCCTTCGCTGAATTTTAACGTCGAAATCGAACGATTTAAGTGGGATATCCCGAAAGAAAGAACGAGAAAAAAGTGCAACCGCACTTTCTACGCGTGCGTGTACGTAGTTACAACCGAACGGAAAAGGAAGGATCCGCTGCGCAAACTTTGCGCCTTATCAAGTCACTGAACTTTCTCCTACAGTCCTTCCCTTTTATCTTGGATCGACAGAAGAGCAATTTAGAGGGCAGGCGCAGGTAGTACATTACACCTACTATTCATGACATTTTCTAAAGTAATTCACAAGGACAAGAACAAAAGTAGAATAAAGGTTTCAACACTAGAACTACCAAACCCGTGACGTATTGCAGATTTCTTATTTTACAATTACTGAATTTGAAAATATTTCTTTTGGTGGAATTTATGTTTGCTTTCAATTTACCATACATTTTATATTACGCTATATCATACTAAATTGTACTCAATATTCTGTATATTACTATATTATACAATGTAATTTAATGGTAGTTCCAGTGTTAATAAACTTCGATACTATTCCTGTATTGTTCGTGACATACAAAGACCCGCTAGTACGCTAAATAATATTCTCACAGTTCTTAATTGCTATATGTTTGCAGTAGAAATTATAAATTTCCATGAACTTCCACAGCCTGTTAATATACACAGTGGTCCGAAGTGCTTACGTACGATAGTGTCTTGTACATTATGGACGAGTCCACATTTCCGAGAATGTATCGTTACGAATTCGTGTTACGTTTACAGGAAATCGTGCATCAGTGATTCTAACTCGGTAGCGTTTCAAATGTTTGCGAAATCGAACGAAAGCAAGCGAAATGAGAAGCGAGAAACGAGCTCTCGAAGCTTAATCGTGGGAGAGAAATTTTGTATTCTATTACTCTATAGAATCGTATTATCTTTCGAGTATTAACCGCCGTTACTGTTGACATTAATTATCATCCTATGGAAGATTACCCAGCGACCACCGGGGGGAAAAGACGTTTGAACCGATGAACGTCGTGACACAGGGGTAGGATCGAGAGGCTCTCCTCGATCAGCGAAGCGCAATCTCTCGCGGCGAGAGAAATTTAATAGGCTCCGCTGAAATCGCCGGCATTCTTTCCCGAGATTAGAAAATAGCGATGCAGTAACCGACCGGCTGGGATACTTTCTATTATATTAAAGTTCGAGGATTTATTCGTTCGCGAACGAGAAGGCGTGTCCCTCGCGAATTACCATTGTTTTCCCCGTCACGTTTCCATCTCGACGATTCCACCTTCGAAAAAGCGTTACGTTCATTCTGCACACAACACATAACTTTGATTCTTCTGTATTCTTATCTTTTATTGTTAATTTTTTATGTTCTTATATAATTCTTTTTGTGTCTCTGTTTTCTTTTCTGTTATTTCTGTCACGAATAATCGTGGTATAACTGGACAGAGGGTGATTTTACGGGGAAAAATAAGTCCAAGAAAGCAGTAATATTTATTTTATTTAACGCTTCATTTTCGAGGTGCAATCGAATTTGAAGAGATCTACCGGATACGCGTGAAATTGAATCGGGCTTGGCTGGCATGTCTGTTCATTGCATTCCGTTTCTACTTGCTACCATAAGAAATACACACACGCGTTTCAGATTTTAATGAATCGAAAATACTGAACAGCTCTATATCGAAAAAGCCTAGATCGTGTTCGAACAACCCTTAACCCTTCCATTCCCACTGAAGCCATATGGCTACACAACATAAAATTCGGAAATAAAATATTTAGTATCATTTCCATAAATATCATATAACTCAAGTAAATTCAATACTTAAATCGAATGATACATTCATAACATTTAGCAAGTATTAAGATAACATTTCTGTACGTTGTGCCTATAACATTGTAAGTGAATATACAAAAATCACTAAAATATGAAACTATTGCAGTAATATTAACCGTCGAGTGAACGTCGACACAGGACAATAAAGGGTTAAAAGTTTATCGATGAAATAACACATTGTCGTCCGTTTCTTAACTAAAGAATTAATTAACTTTTCGAACTAAAGCGTTAATTTACACAAAAAAAAAAAAACACCAACTTCAGTTCTTTCATTTTCAGACGTGTCTGTTGAACAAACGTTATCACCTGAAGCCGTGTGTCGCGTCTCCGGTTTTTCTCGATTTCGCTCGTTCGTGGAATCGACCACGACGAAAAAATAGACACACACTGGGAGTACTTTCCAACGACCTAGGTATGGACAAAAGGACACAGAGTTGGAGCTAAGTATAAAATCGCCGGACTGGACCACGAGGCCGACGATCCGTTCGACAAGTGAAATGGAACGACATGCTTTCCCCGGGCACGTTTCGCCCTGGGTGTGTTGTGTAAACACACGTGCACACATGCACACGTTTTACATCGCTCGCATATATACACTCGGGACGAGGATCCACTTTTTCCGATCCGGTGACTTTCGATCGGTGGCGATCCACGATCAGCTCGTTGACGCTCGACGAGAAATTCTAGTTCTTTCTTCTGGCGGACTGTTGACCTTAACTCGCGCGACCTCGCGGTGAATTCTTACCCTTTCGCGGTGTTCTTTAACGATTCAACGGATAAAGGGGAACGGGTGAGAACGGCAGAGATGATTGTCGATTACAAAATGGGATTCGTGTGAACTTTGCGTTTTGCATTCTAGACATCGACATTTTTTTACTTCTTTGTCTTCTTTTTGTAAATGCTCCAACGATACAAAGGTGTGGGCAGAATTTCTGCTGGCGACCTGAACGTATTTGTGCGTGCTCGATTAGTCGAATAATGGAACTCTTTTAATCCTGGAAGACAAACACTTCTGATTTTTACGACTGATGAGTCTTCTGGTAACCTTCACGTCTTAGTCAATAGTATTTTGTTAACCCTCATACGTTCCTCATTTTCTTAACTTAATTTAAAAATTAATGCAACGAAGTGACAAATAGTTAATAATGACATATAGACTCGGAGAATCGTTCCTCGAAACCTTCTTCTTCGACCCTAGAGAGTCGAGGCATTTCGTCGATTCCCCAAGTCTAGATATTGTCATAACGACCGGACGACTACAAAAACATACCTCTGGAGGATTATAATTACATTGTCATCGCGATCTCGAGCGAAAAAAATCGCGCGAAGTTCGTACGGAAATGTCGAGGAACGATTGCGAACAGGGACAGAAGAAAGAAGGAGGAATGGTTTATATTTAATCGTTGTAGAATTAACGTTCGCGAGCTTTCTGGAGCGGAAATACAGTGTGACACGGATCGGGGCCAACGGTGTGCACTTCCTCCGACGAAGACGCGCACGTTAATCGCCACGCCGTTCATTAGGTCTCCGTGGACGTTGCAATTTCTTTCATGTTCCCATAAGCTCGATAATTCACAAATCACCCCCGATTTCACGCTCGAACGGCCGGTTTAGAGGCGCGCGCTCGCGTCGATTTCACGCCGATCAGGCGATCGATCGAGGCACTGGAACCGTGAACGAACCAGAACACGATCGAAAGAACGAAACGATGAAGTTTGAATTCTCAGAGGGACGGAATTTTCAAGTCTTTTAATGACAAATTGTGGATGGTTATAAATAGACTCGCGAATTTCACGCAAAATAACATTTTTTCAAAGTGATTCGTAGCAACAAGAACAAATGTAGGAATATCTTTCTGCTCCTGAATATCTTATCGGATTAAGAATATAATAGAATATAATATCGTTGCATTTAATAAAAGTTTTATATTTTACTGTATTTCATAGAGCCCTCATAAATGCATAAAATTCGCAGTCTATTTATGGGAGTCGCTAATTAAATACCGTTAACCCTTTTCGTTTCAGTCGATTCTACATGTTCCTCTGTACTACAAACGGGCGTAATCTGCAGGCTAGTGGTTTTCAGTGTACGATTAGATAAAAATAGTAACGATACACGCGTTCCTATTGCACAACGATAACGTGCGCAAAGGAGAATAAGAAAAAATGAGGACACAACGATATTGGATGCACACGTAACTAACTGAAATTAAAGTACAAAGTCATGAGCTCCTATTCATTTATTTTTTACTCCGAGTTCAATTCGATACAGCAGGTTTGCAGATTTTAAAGGACAGGATGGGTCACTTTGCATTACTGCTTGTTTGATGTAGTACTAACGTTTATAGTGCAACACAAATTGACAGAATCTCCATTTCGCGAATTAATCGGTGT